GGTTACAATAGGGTCCTTGCACTGGAGTGCTCGGACCCTAATAATTCAAACAGGTGGATTTTTTTATTTTTTTATTTTTAATGACAAATATCAAGTATTCAAGGCATTTGTAAACCAAGTGTTCACAAACATCAATTAGACCTCTGCTCCTGAGGGAACACAAAGCGATAAGAGCTCGACTTTTCAGAATACAGCTTCTGTTCTGTTCAGGAAATTCACTTTCAGTTCAAATACTGAAGAAAGGAAATGTGTTAAAGCAAGGTTTGTACAGTCAACATGAAGTCGCCTGTGCCAGTAGTAGTCCAGACATTTGAACAGCAGGACACTGGATTTAAAGTAGTAGGTGTACAGTACAATACAGTCAGACATCACTGCATTTAACTGCGTCTAATAGTGTGTGTGTGTGTGGCGCTACTGGATGATGATTCTCTACACTTCCCTGCAAAGAGTGCACTGTTTGGTTTATTTGCCTCATTGACGGAGGGAGATGGTTTCATGTACTGAAGACCAATTTTGTCTAAAGGTCACAGAAGAGGAATTTTCTTCTGTATCTACATTTTTACTTAAACATGTTCATAAAGTATTTTTGCGCTCATTTTTATGATCCGAACACAGCTTCTTTTTTTTTTAAAGCGGTTATCACATTAAGTGACTGGAAAAAAATATAAGATGACATTTATGTTAAGCTTTTCTAGTCACATTTGCATTAAGCCTGATCAATAATCCTGCATTGGTATTCCTTTTTAGCAAGCATGATGCATATGGCGCAGTAGAAGAAGAAGAATAGAGAATCATTACAGAGGGAGAGAAGGGCATTGTGGGTAGCATAACTTATGCATTTCATTTAACTGTGTATTCCATATACAGGAAGGGGAAAAAAACACATTTCAATAACCCACATCCCTCCCTTCCTCCCTCCAATGACACAAGATGAACTCAACCCTCCCCTTGCGAATAATACTGTTCAGGCACCGCGAGACAAATCTGTTGTTTTTTTTGTGTTTTTTTTTTGTAGCTTTAAGTCTTATTTTTTTTTCCTTTTAACTACAATGTCATGGGTTAGTTCATAAATATGCTTCTAACTATGTGTGAGCTCTATAATACGCTTCATTTGCTTTGTCAATATTTACACGATGATCACTTATGAATATGTAATTTGAGGTACTAAGTCACAATAATACTAAAATTAGTCACTGCCGTTTACCACGTGAGAAACCTTTACCAGGCAGAACACCGTGAATCTTGGCCAAAAATGTTAACTTCTGAAATTTATCCACTGCATTAGATTCTCCATTACTTTGCAAACTATGAATAACTAAAATGAATTCATACTATCAGAATATAAAATACAATAACTTTATTAGACTTATCTTTTATCCCTCCCCCCCTCAAAAAAAAAAGTCCTAAAATTTTGGTTTTCAAAAACATGTCACAGATTTGACCTTTTGTTTGCACTTGATATATCTAATATCAGAACGATGCGTTTTGTAACACAAAAAAAAGGCCTCGTTATCGCCTCTCCTTGTTCTTTACAGACATTACCTCTCCTTTTCGAAGGAAAGCAAAACCATAAGATTACAATGTGAGCCCAGCGTTAAAGGAAACGAGACGGTTCTGTTAGGACGTGGCATCTGTTAACAGTTAAGGCTCATGCAAGCACTTTCAATATGCCTCTGATGAATGTTCTGTGGCTTCACCGCCGCACCAGTAGACATCATTTCAACACTGGACTTAGTCACATTGCCTGCAGAATAAATATCCAAGACAGCAGATAATTTCTCGATCTTTGGGAAACTGGAGTGCTAAACTCAGAGCAGTGACTAAGTTTAATAATTAACCTTTTAAACCAAGACTTTTCCTTGTACAGTAGGTCTGACAAACATTCACTGGCCTTCACACAATCATCTCTGCGTCCACTAGATGGCCCCCAAACGCCCCAGAAACTGAATAATCAACTCCTGCTGATAAAAAGGGCTCATGCTTGCTGCACTACTTCTTTAAAAGTCTAGACTGCTAAATAACTACTATGTACATCTGATGACCGTTAGAATGGAGAAGCCATTAAAATACAAAGCCAAAATGATGCATCTGTTTGCAATAGATTAGATACGAATCATTTTACTTTGAAGAAGTTGCTTTCATAAAGGGCTTGAAGAAAAGAGCAGTTTTGCCGCATTTATTTTTTTTTAATAAACCTACTTTCACATCTTTAGGACAAACAGTAGCTTCAGCACAAGGTCAGAGATGAGATACCATTCTTAAATTCCTCTCTCCTACCTGCCACTTGGCTAATTATTAACACTTTAATAATAATATCATGTAACGTGTAATGAAATATAGATTTGTTGCTCACTGACATGACTTGCCACAAAAGTCATTTTACACTGTACCATTGGTGCTTGTCGGCTTTAAGCTACATGGTTACTTGCAGAGGCGAGAAACTGTGGCTCGAGATCTGTGACGGCTGTTTCCAATCACAAAAGCGGAGGGCAACAAAGTGGAATACTGTCAATCAACTGAGAGAACAGTGACTGGCTTTTCAGCAGCTAGCATTTACCCTGGTAGCTAGCTTTGTATACTTGACTGGCCGAGGCAGCCTGAGAGGCACTGTTAAGAAAAACAAATAGGAAAAGAGGTGAGAGGATTAAAAAAAAAAAAAAAAAAAAATCCTTGTCATTTCTGAGGATACAGACAACACGAAGTAACCAGACGAGAGAACAGGTGGAATGGCTTAAATATATGAGAATCAGCTGATTTGCTCAATCTGTAAGGGGAAATGGGACCATGACAGAGCCGACAACAACGTGGTGGTATGTGTGAATTGAGCAGAGAAGAAGAAAGAGGTACAGATATGGATTACAGAGGGAGCTGTACAGTACTGAGAAGGGAGGAGCTGTACATAGGATCTTGCATAGTACAGGTTTGTCTGTTGTGCTTTAGACGCCATGTTGATGATGATCATCTGTCTGTACAGAGATTATAATGCCCTGCCCTTTAACAGTAGCACCATGTGATGTCTTTACATCATCCAAACCTTGACGTGGAGGTTTGACCTTCTGTGTGGATGCTGTGTGTGGCTGCAGCTGATGATATGCTCTGAGTAAAACAACATCTTTTGATCTCCTGGTATCATAAACAACGAGCAGCCCTTTAAGTATGGTGGGCGTACTTGTGTCTCTGCCTGTCGGTCTGACAGCTGGTTAGGAGCCCCGCCTTGTGCCTGATTGGTGTAAAGCAGACACTGTGTTGTGCAGACACACAAACAGGAAGGCACATGTCACAATAAACCCCAGAGGGAGGCTGGCGTGCTCTCAGACATGGGCAGAGCCTCTGTGGTGATGTGGCAACAGGATGGGGGGAGTTATTGCTTTGAGGGCGTTGCCCGGGCAACTGAGGCTGCTGTGGCCACGGTTGAGCAGCAGGGCGGCCGGCGGGTCGGGCCGAGGCGGGATAAACACGGGGCAGGAGCGGGTGCGGGCGTGGCTTTTGTGGCCCCCAGCGTGGCATATGAGCTCGCTGACGGTGCCCAGCGGAGGCAGGTGCTGGCGCCAGCGCTCGGCTCGCGCCTCCTTGTGCTTGATTGAGTACCAGGTGAGGAAGATGAAGATGAACCCAACGAACTTGAGGCTGGCGGCCAGGCCGAAGTAGACGAAGCGGAACGAGGTGACGTCGTACTCCCAGCAGGAGCCGTGCACGCCGCAGTCCTGCTGCCAGAGCATGCAGGTGGTGTCAATGACAGCGCCGAAGTAGATGGGCGTGGGGATGTAGGCTGGAGAGGAAGAGAGGAGTTGGAATTAGACCTCAGAACTGCCTTAGTTTCATGCAGCTTACGAACATTCACCTGGTTTTAAGAATACAAGGTGCAATTACAAAAGTTATGACACTGTGTTTAGAAAAAGAAAAAACCATTACTGATTTTAAATTTGTGTGTCAACACACTGCTCCCCGGAACTCTTGTTCCGACTATTTCACCTCAAAATCATGCACAAAGTAAACATCAAGTTCTGGGTCAAACTGAACCAAACTTCATGTAGCTGTCTACGGCTACAGCCCAGAAAGCAAACATCAGTCTTTAGTGGAAGAGCCTGCAGTCTAGAAGATGAAGGTGCTTGTTGGTTTGTTTAACGTGAATTCAACCCCACGACCAGAATGTCAGCGCTGAGTTCTACGATAACATCCTGAGGTATCTGAGGGAGAAGACTGGGCACAAGCACACTAAGCTGTTGTGTATGTCATCATGACAACGCAATGAATTCACTGTTTGATAGTGTGGAAAAGACACACGTTGCAGATCGATAACAGAAAGGGGCTTAAAAGGAGCAGTCAAAACATATCAGGAGCACTGGGAGCAGTGTGTCTTTGCACTAGAAGATGACTTTGAAGGGGGTGATTTAAATCATGAACAGTTTTTGCATTTTATAGATACAGTCTTAGAACTGTTTGATCACACATCACATCGCGTGTTAAGACTGGAAAAAGGTGAAACTTAGGATTCTAAAAATCTTTTTTCTGTGAAATATTTACTGTAAGTAAAGATTTTATTTCATTTTTAATATGGAATAGTTTGGGTTATTTCTGTTTGTGTTTTGGCATTTTTACACAATTTGAAGTGTGTGAAGTTTAATTGAAGAAAAAAAAAGGCACTTCATATTTCCATGAATGAGTCAGAGTCGTGATATTTGTGTGACAGTGTGCTTATGTTTCCACTTACTCGATCGAACCTAATCAAAAAACAATCTCACAGTCCTAATGATACAGATTCATTTGCTTGAATGAGAAGGATGCTTTCTTTAAACACTCAATTACTTATTTCGTCATAAATATTCTCTTGACTAAAAAATTATTGATTTTTGGTTGTGCAGTTGAATTACACAATTTCTCTGCCAAAACAGTGCACAAAAGAAATCTCTAAATGCTGTTTGTAAAGGACACAGTGCAGTTTTATTTTTCATTATGTTTACTAATGCACACATTCCAGTCTCTCCTATTAGTAGAAGGTATTGCATTCTGCTGCTCCAAAAGTATAATAAATATATGTTATAGATTATATGTGGAACTTTGATGTGCTGCAGTTCCTCTTTTCTACCACTTGGTGGCCCTATTTGTCATGAAACAGGCCTGATTGTATGCACACTGGTAAAAATAGACAATAAATTAGAAACACCTTTCAGAATAAATAATCCAATACAACACCACAGTTAACTCTGGTAGTGTCCACATGAGCACAACTTCAGTAAATTCATCAATTTAATATTCACTGCAGAGCTGAAGTACAGGGTGACAGATAGGAAATGTTCACAAAATGGAATTCAAAAGGTTCATATTCTTACATCCTGTTAACTACACAAATACACGGACATCCTTTGGCCACGCATGCACCCTTCTTGTAATGGTTTCTGAGCAGCGATGTGACAGTTTTATGGCATACCAAGCTGATCAGAGGCATGTTAAGGCAGCGCTTACTCTCCCTCAGGGGGTTTCTGCACCCATCTACACAAAAGTTCACAGAGGTCAACTACAGTGCCGCATTCCTGCTCATTCTAAAATCGCAGCGTGTTAGCAAGGATGAGTGAGAGATTGAAAGTTGGAGAAAACAACAGTTTGGGAAAAGTGGATTATAGACCCAGACAAACAGCATCATACAAAGCTGCTTTTTTTTTTTTTTTTTAATCCTTAAACTGCTCAGGAAGCCGTTTACTGACTAACTAATTGAAAATACATTACTTTCACTCAATTACACCCTTTGTGCTTTCCGAAAAGCTTTAACATCTATTCTTTATGACCAAAGTAGATTCAATGAACAAATGGTAATAGGAGAATTCAAAAGAAGAGAGGGTGATTTTAATGTGTAGTGCAAATGGTCATGAACTTACCAAGAGTTCGGAGTAAGACAAACTGCATCCCAAGAGCAAAAGGCCTCTCTTGTTCATCAACAGACCTGAGTGAAGAGAAACAGCGTATAAGACGAATTTGCTAAACTGAAGTCATATAAAAAAAAAAAAAAAGATGAGAAAGAGAGCTGGGAAAGATTAAAAGTGTGATTGGCAGACTCTTACCTGAGTGTGACGATGATGGCGGAGGGCTGGGCACAGGCGGTGATGAGCGTGACGATGAAGAGGAAGATGAGGAAAGGGATGAGCGTGTTGCAGGTGCGGTCACACTTCCCCGACATAGCGTAGCCGTTCTCATTCAGGTACGTTTTGACAATGACCAACTGGAGCTGGTTGACCTGGCCGCCGGAGGACGGAGTGATGACCTGTCTGCTCTGCACGCAGGCACAGTCTGTGTAGTTCCTGATCTGTAGTCAGAAACAGCACGAGTAAATTCTAAGATTATTAAGCTGAATGTAATTCCTCTGAAGGCTAATAAAAATAATGTCACACACAGACTGGGTGGCACCGGCTATGTGGTGCAATCAGTGATCTCAACAAAGAATCTAAACATTTCCCTTCCTTGCGGTGTTATGATTTCCTGTCTGGCATTGTTGTGGAGTCGCTTCCTGTAATTCCAGAGATATGGGAGGAGAATGTACAGAGAACAGGCCTTTGTGTATGCATTATGATTTGTGTGTCAAAGTTCTTAGATTTTTTTTTTTTATCTTTCCATCTATTATTCTACTTCATGTTTATAGCCAGTATTTATTTAACGAGAAAACAAAAGGAGCTATAAATGTATGCAATTTTTTTTTTCCGCCTTGTCGGCGCCTTCGTGTGCACTCACCCCGGTGCTGTCGTTGCCCACAGTGCTGCATCCAGCCAGACAGGGGTTGAAGTAGGTGATGCCATCTGAGCCGCAGACCGGAGCGTACTCATGGATCCTGCAGCCACAGTTCACGTTGCAACTGCCTGTCAGGTTCCTGTGGGTCATTGTCAGGGTCGGCCTGCAGAGAGACGCACAAGGATAAACATTCACTAAACCACAATATGGCAGAACTGAAATTTCAAGTCTGGGACGACACACTTGTTTATACATGCCACTTCTTCCAATTATGTTGTTTTCTTTTTCACTGGGCTGACTCACTTGTAACACTTGTTTTTCAGTCTGATAACAATTCTCAAAACATTTCAGATAATGTCAAAATGCACGTACGAGGCGTTCCTGTTCTTTAGAAGCCAGAAGACTTGTTGAACAATTTCTTGAACCTGTAATTATTGAGGTGGGGACCGGCTGGAGCAACAGCACATCATTTAGCTCCAGCAAAATTTAAAACAAATTTAATAGTGTTGTATGCTGCATTTTAGACCACATTTCCCTTGAAACTCAATGCCTCCTGCTGCTAAGAGAATAACACTCTTCTGCCCCACATGGCAGCACACTCTAAAAGAAAACGGCAATTAAAAAATTGATAAGACGTTGCATATTATTAGCAAAGCAAATATAGTTTCTTTGTTGAGCTGTAATACAATTTATCCGTAAAACAGAAAGCGTTTCATATGAAGGAAAATGTAGTATAGAAGCTGAGCAGGCTGCCAATCTTCCTGACAATGTTTACAGTTGTCCCACTGTCTCATTATTAATCTGCCGCATGTAATCCCTTTAATTAGCTTCACCGTAGACTTCCACCAGCTTGTGCGATGCGAGATGATAAGAGGACAGGGGCGAGGGGCTGAGGAAGCGACACCTCCACTGGCTCTTTAGGCAGTGTGGGAACAGTTGCTCTAAGCTAGACAGGACTTTGGCTCCGTCTAAACCAGGAGCAGTGAAGCGAGTCCTGGGTTTTCTCTGGGAAGCTTCGCTCTGAGCCCTGCGGAACAGACGGGGACAGGCCCTAACAACACAGCAGTCGGGTTTGACGCTGACAAACACACAAGCAGAAAAAAAGCAGTGACCTTTTTATAACCGGAGGATTCTAATCTAATAATGTGTTTAAGGCGATTACTCTTGTCATACTGTCATACATTGCCGGTTTTTTGTTAATTACATGTTTTTCAAAGAATCTAACTTTCTGCTACCTCTTAAATCAATGGACCATCATTTTTCACAGAACCATAAACTGATACTCATCCTCATTTTTATATTAGCTGTCACTGAGGAGGCACATTTGGGCTTGTCCTGACATAACAGTGTCACATTCCAGACGCTGTGTGTCTGTGTGCGTGTGTGTGTGTGTCTGTGTGTGTGTGTGTGTGTGTGTGTGTGTGTGTGCGTGTGTGTGTGTGTTGGCAAAAACGTAAAAAGGCATCAGCCCTGCTGGATTCACAGGCTTGCTGCACTGATTGCACATGTCCTTTTCCAGACTAAACCCCGGCCTTCGCTGAACCCTCCAGATGTTGTGTCCCTGTGTGCAGGCTGCACTGCAAAAAAACCCAAACACAGAGCCAAGAGACCGAGTGGTTTAATCTGCTCGAGCACTGCACACTGAAAAAGTGAAAAGCAACTCTATGAACGTTGGGAGGGTTTATCAAGAATATTGATCTTGAAACAAAAGAAACTGAGGTGTATTCTGTAGCTTTTAATTAAGTATGCAAGCCCAACACATACTTATGCAACATTTTTGCAGATATTTAGGAATATTACATAACTGGATATGCCTCCTGGCTCTGTCCTTTTTTGTCTCCGGCCTGTCAGCAGGGGAGAGCCACGTCTAGACTATAAGAGCACAGACACAAAGGCCAGGCTACGGCTAAACATTCCTCATGTGGGTGCTACCCGCGACTAGTGACCAGTGCTGTTCATAATGAGGAGCCCCACCGGCTCACACGGTCTTGTTGACCCCTCTATAAACACCGGCTTAAACAAAGACTACAGTTATTAATGAGACAGCTATGGGACTTTGAAGGGAACTCTGGGTTTCTGGAAAGTAATCATTTTGATAGTTGTGTGAAAAGTAAATTCCACAGAGGTTTAACAGTTTTGTAGATTACTGTTGATGCTGAGGCCTTCATAATCAAAAGTCAAAGTACTTTTATAGATATAATATTGTGACCATATGCTTGCAGACAAAACATTTCAATGTTTCTTTGAAAATTCTGAATTCTGGCACTTGTGTGACAGCTACATGAGAGGGGATAATATTACAGTAGATGTGTAATATGTTTGTAATCAGTTTGCAGGATGCTTGGCATCATCCAAGGTCAGTCCGTGGATGGTGCCTCCATGAGTCTCTGTGAATGTGCTCGTGTGCCAACAAACGTCCGCTCCGCATTTCTGCCCGCAGGGCCGACACATCAGATGACTGTTTGTTAACTCTGCAGCTGGCTGCTGATGTGGTGTTGAGCAGCAGCTTCAGAAATAGAGGTGGCAAAGTGATTCGCTGGAGCCACGACAGCAGATGCCAGCGTTGCTAATTAATCATTCGCACTCCGACACAACGGCACGCCACATGAGGATGATGGGAACGGCGACAGCATCCAAAGCCCACGCCCCTCTCAGATACATCTCCATGTGCTGTCTAAGATCTTATTTAAATGAGCAGTTTAGAAATAAATGTGTTCCCGGTTCCCCAGTATCTCATACATAATGATTCACATTGTGTTTCTCATACAGGACCTGACCTGTCATATACAACAATACTGAAAAGATGTCTGCTGGGGAAAACTTGGAGCATAAAGCAACCTCAACACTTTGTGTGTGTGTATTTTTTTTCTTACCCAGTGGTGTAGGGTATGTTGATGCCTCCTAGATTAATGCTCTCACAGCCCACTATGAAGAGCGTGGAAAAGCAGAGCAAAGACACCCCGCTGCAGATCATGGCCAGCTTGGCTGACTCTCTTGCACCGAGCTTCAACTTCTTGATGATGTAGCCCCCCAACACGATGCCCACCCCGGCGCTGGGTACGATGATCACACCTGTGAGAGACACCAGAGAAAAGTAAAACTGGTGAGATGGAGGAAAATCTTCTGACGTGTTGCAAGCAGAAATAGAAACACAGAAACAGAGCAGATAATTGAATTGCGTCTTGAAAATGTTTTAACAGTGAATAAATTACTGTAACCAAAGTGCAGTAAGCATCGGATCTACAGTATTTTAATCAGGCATTTTAACATGAATTCCACGTAAGCATGTCATGCATTTATATCATTGAATTTGCTAGACATGGCTGCCTGAGAAAATCTCAATGTGACTTCCCAGTTACACCATGAATAAACAACTTCAAAGAAAGAGCGGGACCAGAATAGGCTCTGCTGTATCAATGTGACCAGGCTATGCTGCGTGTTACTAGTGAGTCATGTCAGGCTGTGGCACGTGCTCTCAGTCTAGTAAAGCTCGTCAAGCTGACATGCGGAAAGGCCGTGCTGGCCGCTGGAAGGATGGACCGAGTGGTAAAGTGTCATTGTGCGGGAGTGAAGGCCCGAGGTGGCTGCACATGGCAGCCCTAGAGCCCGACCACAGGCACTCACAGGCGGGTAACGAGCAAGATGGTGTCAGTCAGCGGGGGTGGAGGGTCATCCAAGACAGAGGATTAGCAGAGAAATGATAAAAGTACACAGAAATGTCATCTGGCTTCTCCCTGTTTCTATGTGTGTGTGTTTGCTGGAAATATACAGATCAAGAGAATGATGGAGAGAAGGGCAAGAGATAGAAAAAGTGTCACTGAGCACACTCAGTGAGAGCTAGGTAACGGACAGCTGTAGTATATTATCCTGTAAGTGCATGTTTCTATGCTAAACCCATGTGCTTTCTGCAGGATTAAACAAGTACACAGTAAATCCAGATATCACAACCACGGAGCATACAGTGCACACAAACACTATCATGTAAAATTAAAGGTTACGTGAACAATTTACACATATATTATGCAGATTTGATAGCTATGCTGGCAATAATGTGAGTGGTTTTTGTAGTGACCTCATAAAGGTGTCTGTGTATGTAAGTGTTTATGTACGACACATACGGCAGCAAATGATTGTCAGCTGCATCTTGTGTAGAGACCGAAGACTTGGGTACAGACAAAATAAAAGAAAAACAATGGAAACTGGATTTGTTTTTTTTGTTTTTTTTTAAAGGAACATTGGCCGAGATAAGGAAAGCCACCAAAGTGAACGTGAAGAAGAACAAACCAAAATCACAGCAGCAGAACGGGGGGAACTGCAGCTGAGGGGGGCGTGTGTGACATGTTACAGTTCTATTTCTGTCGTGACATCTAATGATCATGTAGCCGTGGCAGGTCTTTAACAGGGCATGATACTGATTCAACAAGGTGGTAATTTATGCAATTTAAAGTTATTTCATTCTGATGTCTTCATGAGGCAACACTGCTATCAATCCAATGCAATGTTAGGTCACTCTCAGTTAATCTTTATATACACACTTCACTGGACTTGTCAGACATTGTGACTACTGCTTTACATGCACAAAAAAAACTGTAACACACTAAAGGGAAAAATCCAAAAAGCATAATATGGGTTCTTTAGGGCTAACCCATATTCAGCGTCATGTATTCAGATTTGTGGTGAGGGATTAAATGTCACTGTGATATGAACACGTGATAAACGCACAGCGATAAACTGCCTGAAATGCCTGAAATAAGAAAAGCCATTTTATGTGCACGCACCATAAATGTATCCTCATCATACGCATATTTGATCTATCAAATGCAGTGCTGGACACGTGGACCATAATCTGGCCGAACAGATGAAGCCCCAACTAGCCATCAGCTTCCTTCAAATTGAACGGTGGTCACTGAGAAGTAAGCGAGGAATGACAGGGGAAGAAGAGAGGAAACTCTGAAAAGATGTTTTTCTGGAGTTTAGAGGACTACATTTTCATGGAATAAGGGAAATGAAACTTTAATCTCTTATATATGCATTTATGTCTTATTAAAATTAATGTTCTGTTTAATTGGTTAGGCATCATTGCGTACTTTATTCAATAAAAGCATGTTCGAAAGGCCTAATTCAGGTTGTTAAAATCCTATCAAATCTCACAAGAGGACTATTTATTTAAAAAATATCTAATAAATAATGATTTACAGATCAAATATTGATCTTGTGGACTTCCTTCCTTCTTAAAAAATTCAAACAATCGCTCGCAATCATCAGAAGAATGTGACACTCAGTCAGTCCACCTGGTTGGCTGTGGAAACACTGTGCTCCTATCAACAGGAGAGCCCTCTCCTCCTCCTCCTCCTCTTTGTCTCCAACCATCATCACATCCCAGCAGCTTGGCATCGTTTGGGTAGTCATAGCAACCGCACCACCCGTTTGCCCTTACCCCTTGTATCCTGGCAACAGGCAGATGAGATGAGGCAATGGTATTGTGTATATTTGTGTGTGTGTGTGTGTCTGTCTCTGTGTGTGTCTAGAAACAACCATATGTTAGCCAACAGAATACTTGGAGGCAGTTTTTTGCCTTCAAAGCCATAATTGAGTTTTCAATCACTTCTTGCTGTAATAATCCTGATAGCAGATTAGTTGTGTATTAGCACCACTGGCTCAGACACGACTGAAGGATTAGACAGGGTTCTTTGTACACCCTACATATGTGTGGTGGTGTGTGTGTGTGTGTGTGCGAGTGGCCACGCTATGATGAATGTGGCTCCCGCCATCAGCAGAGACTTGTGTGTTACAGTCAGGGGATGTAATGGAAGCTTATCATTGAATGAAATCCAGCAGGACTCCATGACTCATAGCGCTGCCCTTTGAGTGTGAATCACTGTGTGCACGTGGAGAGGTGTGAACAATGTGAACCAGTACAGACTAATTGTGTGAGTAACATGTGATGATCATTTATGGTCCTGTTTGGGTTTCGGACAGTCGGTCAGACAGCTCAAGTAGTGTGAGATTGTCCCTCTGGGAAATTATACTGGACATTTGCTTAACATTTTCTGGTGTTTTACAAAACAAAACAGCATAACAAATTTTAGAAAGATGAACCAATTAATAAAAGTCCCATTATTTTCTTCAGCAATATTCAGAATCCCTCATCACAGGTTCCCACATCCTTGGTGGTGGTGTCTGGCTTTGCTGTACTTTGATGGCTCTTCATAGTACACAGCAATAGAGAGGCAAAGCATTTAACAGTAAATGCATGAAACAGTCAATATCATATCAAAAGACGTAAGTAAGAGTTAGAGATACTTTAAAAAAGAGACTTACCAGTATATATGCTGGCATTGGAGGCAGGGATGCCAAACTGTGACTCAATAAATTTAGGAATGAAGGTGATAAAGGCGGTGACAATGGCACACTCTGCCGTGTAGGACAGGCTGACAAACAGGAAGGTCATGTTGCTGAGGATCCTCAGCGCTGCTTTGGGGAGGTCTGGGGAGGGAAACGAGACAAGACGGAGCACCTCGTTATTGTTGTGCTGTAATTAACACACAATCAGTCTCTCAATTTGGCTCTCACTCCTCACTCACTCACTCCCACACAAACTAAACTCAATGGAACCATCAGAAGAAGAGTAATTACTGGAAAGCTGTGATTAAGAAAAGACAAAAAAAAAAGAAGCTGTATTTGTAACCCAAACAAACCTTATGTAATAATAACCTTAAATAATAACAGGGAAAAAGTCTCACATAAATAAACACTCTCACATTCCAAGATACACTCAACCATATCTCATTATTCTGGGTAAATCTTTGTTTCAAGCAAGCCTGCAAAAGCAAAAAACAATACATGAGCACACGGATGCTCGATGACTTTAGTGCAAAACACTTTCAGGTTAGTAATGAGCAACATCTAAACAACCATGCTGCCTTTCTAATTACCTGTCTGCATCTGCAGTTGGTCTATTAAGCTTTAAAGAAACCCATCAAGCAACAAGAAAGTTTGCTGCACAATGCAAACATGTAGATCATGTGCATTTGCGCTGCATGTGCAAAACAAACCAAGCTTTACAAATCGAGCCTGAATGCCGTCATCCCTGGTTTATCACAACAAGGGCAAACATGCCCTTTATGTCTCCTTGAGGGTAGTGTCCATATGATTTGGTCACCATGATGCAGAGCGTCCTCTCACGCTGTCACTCAAAAGTCATGTGGTCCTACTGTAAGTACATGACTGTTGCTGGGCAGAATTCAGCTGCTTCAGCTTCAGCTGCACTCGACTACTTTGCACCGACTGAGAAAAGTGCCACAAACAAAAGTGGTAGCAAATGCTTTTACCGATCCCCAAAGATAAAGCTCTGACGTCAGTTAGAGAATCTCTGTCCAAACGGGACCTAATAGAGATTCAGTTTCTTTCTCACAGGCATTTCTGCAGAGCAGATGCTGCCTGTCATAGCAACTCAAACATCGGCCTCCCAGTTGAACTGTTGTCTCCCAAATCATTACCACCCTTCTGTCGAAAAAACACCTCCACAAGATGACAAATAATAGCATTAAAAACCTTTTATTCCACCTAAATTACCTACATTTAAAAAAACGATGAAGCCGTAAACAGCTCCCAGGAAATAAAAATGCATTTATCACGCTGTTAACCCACATCCACAAATTAATCGGAGAATTCCATCCAATCACAGACATGTCAGAAATGCATTTCTACAAACAGTGTATCTGTGCTGGGCGTGAAACACAATCTCACCTGATAGAACGCAATCTTGGATTTTGGGGGAGGGCAGCTTACCCTGTTATGTAAAACCTGCAGCTCTGCCAGGCTAATTCGTTCTACTGCTGCAGTTAGAACATTGGTTTGGGTGTTACCCGCAGTCCCCATAAACCTCATTTGTAAGAACTAGTCAAGCTGGTAATGTGGATTTTGCCAACTTTAGAATCACCAAATCATCTGCCCCTCCTGGCATCCTGTTTAACGCACAGGCACGTCTGATCATAGAAAAAGGAAAATACGCAGCCTGTCTCAAGTACTGCTCCTTATAATGACCTCTTGATATTTCATGTGTCTGTCCCTTGTGTGAGATAAGTTTGCCTTAAATGTCCTTTCCAGTGGTACAAGGTCAATGGTGCATACAAACTCCTCCATCTCAACGGGGCTGAGGTATAAAATTTCATGAGCAGGTTGACGGAATGAGGATCTCTGCAGTCCACAGGGACCTCACATTCAAGCTGCTGCTTTTCTAAATTACTCATGTAGTTTGGGTGCCTGGTTCCCGTATAATGTCCTGAAGAAGACCGAGGATGTGCTGCACAGATTGTATCTCCAAACTGATCTTAAGCTGGAGCAAACCACTGTTAAAAGAGTTTGATTTTTTTTCCCCTGACATCTGTGACCAAAACACCTCTGTCAAAAAGTATTAGACTGAAATATCCAGTTGTGTTTTTCAGTGTGAACAGAAATGCAACTCAACACAAGAAATCAAACAAAGACTTTTCTCTTCTTATTGTGCAGCAGAAAATCCAAAAGGCCAAGACAGTTCCCTTCATCAAAAAAATTATCAGTAACTTAAAGTGAGGTCACTTATGTGCCAGTAAGGCTTCTTTATTCAAATGAATTTAGGAGCTGATTCCAATCTGTATAACTATGTATTGTCTGCAGTTGACCTTAACGATATGCGCAATGAAAAATAGTTGAAGAAGGGCAGAGTTCTTTATTTCTCATTATAAAAAAAATCACTTCAGTCTTTGTTCTGTCTCTGCAGTCTTTTGTTTTTTATCCATCTCTGCATGTGTGCGAGTGGTCTGCCATAGGCCACATCTGGGAAGAAAACTTAGACTTGGCCAGCTCATCTAAAAGCACACACATCTGACTTCTACAGTTTTATCCAGTGTGTCCAGGGGTTTTAAACCCTTTGCCGAAGGCAAACATTATGGTTTTAGAGTCATAAGGCTCTCATGAGGGCTTCTTGTGGCTCACGTGTTTCATAAGCAAACACCACAAAGCAAAGCGGGAACAAAAGAAAAGGCAGGAAGAATGTGAAGTGGATTATTATTGCCTTTTATTAGAGAGGTTATTAGGAAGCTGGCTGGTCCAACTGGGTGACTCGGTGCCTTGACTTGGGAATAGCCATCTTAGCGCTAATTCATCTGATCTTGTTGTAGGTGGGGAAATGTTAGCAGCATCTGTCAGTGTTATCCCAGATCAAAGGTAGGAATAGAATAGTGACGCTAATTATTTCATTCCTGGGAGCCAGGCTGTAATCTTGTCTGGAGGGGGACAGATGGTGAAGTCCTGCTGGCATCTACAGCAGCTGCTCTCTCAATCAGACAGACCAGTGGCTCGCAAGAGTCGCCACACTTGCATTATTTGTTAAAATGTATTTGATGACGTGGTCAAACTGTTTCAACCATGTGGTTGTCCAAAATAATCCTCTGTCAGCAGAGACAGGACATAATGGCATATTAATTATAAGAGAAGAAGATCAAATCAAATCAAATCAGGTTTATTGTCATTTTGCTGTACATACACAGTAGTACAGGCAAGATGAGTGAGAGTCTCTTCAGGATCATTTAAGTTTTATGGAATGAACGTCTGGGATAGGCAAGACGCTTAACGTTCACTCTCGCTGTCTCCTGAAGGGGCCGCTGCGTCCATGCGCACCACCATCACAAGGATCTGATATAATGTAAGAGCAAATGCTGAAAATGGTCTCAGGCAACCAAAAATCTTGAGTTTTTATGAAGTTGCAATCTAATCATTTACATGTAAACAATCAGATTTTTAATTCAAAGCTTAGTGCTTTTGGCTGATGATTTTGCACAGTAGCTGTACCTAATTTTACTGGGTGCTGAAAGGATTATTCAGTTAACTCTGAAAACAATGACATAAAATCGTCAATTTTCACTTACTGTCATATTTCACTTTAGTCTTTACAAAGATGTGCTGCTGTACTCCCTAAATAAATGTTTTCTCTTCAAATACTGATTTCAAACTCAAGGTATTTTCTGATACCAAATGCCAACCCCATACCTTATTTTAGGTAAATTAACAGTAAAATAATGTGTTTCTAACAATTACGAAGTGACCTGTAATAACCTAGAGGGTGTAACTGATCGCTTAAACATGGACTTTTTTTTAAACATCAAATCCCTCCTGTATTTAATGCAGATTGATCTAATAATGGCAAATTCCCACACCTCTTGTGAAGGTCTATATTAGAGCTGAAAGTGATGGAGCATATCAGATTAGTGCATCCTCACTTTGGATTGGCCTTCTGTTCAACTTTCAATATTTACAATCTAAACTATTAGTAGGTTCTTTGGAAAAATAATTAACAGATTAGGTTTCAAATGGTTCTTGTGGATGTTGAGTTTTAGTTTGAACAGCGGTGCTTCAAACGTTATTTGGCATTTGAAAATTCTGTTGTCCTGCTGAGGAATAAAATATCAGCTGAAATTGGCTGAACCCATATTTTTACTCAGATAATTACTCACTTACTGAGACATGGTTATGATATACATGTCAGCAGTTGTTTATCAATACCTCTGAACATTTCAAGGGGAGTTGCTTTTGCATGGCAGCAGATCAAGGTCTGGAACATTCCATAATCAAAAGTTTGTCCCTCCGACGCACATTACAGAAAATATTCGGTGTTAGCATTTTGCAGTGTTTGCTTGTGATCTGAAGGGCAAAAAAAAATGCTTGTTGGAAACAGCCACTTCACTGCAGCGTATCTTTCACAGAAAGTGCTGAATTTGTGCTATAGACAAACCCACACACCTCAATAGAAGGACATGTACAGTACTAAAATACATTCCAAACATTGAAGCGCCTGAGTCTGCGAAATTGGCCATAGTTTGCACAACGGCCCAAAACATCCTGCTGAGACAAATAAAAACAGCAGGAGAGCAGGCTGATGCATTCGTGGTTACAGTATGTGTCTCTCCAAGACAATGGCCTGTTTTGACAGCTTTGGTTGTGCCCATATATCAGGATTAATTTATGACTGTACAGCTATGCTAAATACATATCGGTATTCACAACAGTGATCTTGCTTGTAATAAAGTGTATGAGAGCAAACATGTTTGCTGCTGTATTGCTCTGCTGCTCAGTCAGTCTAGTCCTGTGTGTGGAAATGTGACTGACTTCCCTTGAGAGCTCATTTAAGAGAGAGAGAAAGAGAGAAAGAGAACTGTCTGTCTGAGAGCAAAAAATGACACAAGAGGAAACACTAGAGCAGGACTCAGTTTAACCAGGGGGGCTCTTGCAGGGAAAACCGGGGAGATTCCTGATAAATCTGCCTCAAAGAAGACATAACATCGATGCACAGAGGTGCCTGAGCAACATACTGTCCTTTACTTAAAATCAAGGTTGCCATGCCAAAACAAAATCTTCCAGCTGATAGCAAGCATGTGACCTTTTGCCGTGTTTACTATTCATTGACTAAAGTTAATAGAACCCAAGTCCACTAGCGCTGCCAATGTTTACTGCTTCATTAAGCACACTCTTCCATCATCAATCAATAATATCTTTAAAGGAGATCTCAATGAAGCTAACGCTGTTGGATAAAATGACTAACCCAAGTCATTGATTAGATTACAGGCTGTTTGTACATCAATAGTTCACGGTTCCTTTATGTAAAGTACCAGTAACGCCTCGTGGAGGCGGAACAGAACAGTTGATATTATCGGTTTCTCACCTTTAATGTCCTTTCCAAAGCCCATAGAGGAGGAAACGTTTTGGCCTTTGCTACTGGACTTTTCCTTCATCACTTCATCATCGCTGGACACGTCACCTGGTGAGGCGATCTTTTTCTTCTTCCGCTTTTTGTGGCGTGGAGGCAGCTTTTTGGGAAAGGCAAACATGGGGAAGATGACCAGAAGCATAGCTATGGCACACAAGAGAAAGCCACTCCACCTGAAGAAGAAGACACAACAGATGGGCTAAAGGCAATTGAGAAAAGACTTATTGTCACACAGGGATGCACATAAGGAAATCAGCAGGCACACAGATGCACATGCATATTTACCAGTTGCCAACAAAGCGAGGGTCATTCTGGTCGATGTTGACGACAGTTTTGGGGTCGACGTAGAAGCCGATGAGGACGCCTCCCAGCAGGTAGCCAGCTGCAGGTCCCAGGGCTCCCATTACATACATGATGGCTGGAAAAGGGCACAAACAGAACCAATCAGAAGACAGCAAACACTTTCGGAACTGCTTTAAATATTCTTAAGTATATTTGTAGGTTTTGATGAGTGTGAAGCCCAAATTAACTCTCATAATTAAGGCAGGAAGACAGCACCTTTTTCAATGCCGACAAAATTTTCCACTTTCCTCATTAATGCTCCTAATGACTCACTGTTCCCTGTTTAAATACGACCTGGGGGAGCTGTTCATTACCTCTGATTCCTTGTGCACCATATCCGTAACACCTGCACAGAGATCAGTGGGAACTCTCAACCACCCCTTAGGTCATTTCTCACAGCTTATGAAGCGTCTGTAACAACCGACCTGAAAGCTCCAGAGGTCTCAGACTGACCTGAGGGCAAGCCTGCAGCTCTGACACACCAGTGAACTTCAGCGCGAGTGGGGGTGAGGTATTAACCCTCCAGGGGTCTCAGACCATCACTGAGGTGAGCCAATCATGCTCCGTCACTTTGCCGCAGGAAGGGGAAAACTCATTAAAGTTAGATAACCTTAGTTGGACAAGTGGAAAAACCTCCTGCGGACATCCAGCAGAGACGCAAGTCAAAGCCATTTACCAGTCGGAATCAGGGGGCAAACTTTCTATAATTACACCTGGAACATTGCTGCTAGCCGAGCGTCTGTGTGTGCGTGTGAATGTGTGTGACCGACGGGATGGATTAGCACTTTATGATTAGTGTGTCGGCCTGCATGCGCTTTAAAATGTGTCTGTGAACGACAAAATTCTCCCACGGACTTTGCGGATATATTTTCACTGGCAAAACGGCTCTAAAAACACACACGCGGAGCAAAATGTTCCTGATCCTTGATTTGTTTCTCTCAAATATCATTTTTCTTGGATGCCAGCACTAAACCCCACCGGCGATGTGTGTGTATGTGTGTGTTAAGTGTGTTGGTGTTTGAGGCCGAGTCTCTGTTTAGCAGCAGAGGCAGCAGGTGTGCTGCGTGTCCAGATCAAGACTCAAATGTCTAACATCTCTCCTGGGATGAAAAAAACAGTCAGATTGCATAACAAATGCATATACTCACACGCTTCTTTCCCATCAAGTAAGTTTTCTTTTCTCAGAATGTAGACTCAAATGCCATTTAATCTCAGTGTGTTTCACCAGATGATTCAGCTCCCATGCTGACATTTGCATATATCACTTCACATCTTTTTCTACCTCAGTGTTTTCATACCAACACTTTGAGTGGTACTGCGCAACTTCTCCTCTGTGGATGTGTACAAAACGCATTCTTGACTCTTATAGTAAGGTTCAGGCGATGTCCCAAAGCCCAAATCCGTATAAAGACTTAATTAAATCACAGCTTCCTTGAACAAAACTATTGGGGGAAAAGAGAGGAGAACGTTGCTAAAACAACAAAAAGACCCTTCAACAAATCCTCTTATCAGCCTAAAGCAGACACACACACACAGTTACACTCAAGCACAAAATAAATGACAACACTGGTCAATTCTCTGGGCTCCGAAGACTGTAATGCAAGTATGTACACACATGCTGGAAGAACATGTGATGAGAAAAAAGGGTAGAAAACATGTGTCTGAAAACACATATAAAACATGCAGCAGCTTGTATAACTGTGTGGCTTTGGAGTGTGGAGATGTGTTACGGATTCATTCCCATAAATTGACTTCAGCAGACAAGAATTACTTCTCCGAGCAACAAAGCAGGTGTCCATCGCTGTCTCATTTCTCCTGCCTCTTTCTCTTGTTCCCTCCCATATCATATTTCATCTTTTAAACTCCTTTCACTCGGACATTTCTCATATCCTGCCGGTTGGAGAGTCAGTTCACTGCAGCAGTCAAACCATTGACACAATGTAACAGGATATTACCATCCAGAGACAATAAACTATTAATTATAGTTGGCAAGGGCAAAAAGAGGTTCTATGTTATTATCTCCATCTTGAAATTAAAAATGTCTCACAAAACCTAAGCTCGTGAATTACGTTTTGGTGGCCCAAAGCAAAAAAAAGAAAAATCTGCATAGACGGCAAAATTAAAGGCCGACTATAACGCCAACTGAAGCTTGACTATTGTGTTGGTACGCATTATTTCATACATTGCAGGAGTTGCAGATTGAAATAAGCTGCCTCCTGATTAACCTTCACACCAGTTTGATTCTTCAAGTAATGAAAAAATGGGCAAATCTGAAGGAGAAAAATGTGTTTTTGTGTTAGATAAGGATGGAAGGAATTGGGCTGCAACTAAATCCCCTTTTTAGTTTATCATCATATATCACAAACAAAATGGTAATTCAAGAAGCTGAAATATGAAACTGAAATTGTGCTTGAATGATTTTCTGTTGATTGACAGCAATTAATAAACAGTATCAGTTCTGGATAGAAATATGGAGACAACCGCAACTGTAAGCTGCCTCTTTTATTATAGTGAACAGGACTTAAAGACAGAATATATCTAAAAGCATAGTTGAAAATGGACATTTTTGAAGTTTAGTGCAACAAAGATTTTTTCTTTGCCGCTATAGCATGGTATAATTCAAGTACATTCTGGCTTGAGTCAGATATAACAGGTGCATCCAGCCAGTCAGTTGTCAGGCAAAGGTTAACCACCAACTATGGTCCTTTGGTTGCCCTCCAAACTCCATCCTCCTCTCTGTAGGGCACCCAGGCTAGGATGGCCATATTTTATCCCCTCTGGGTGATTGTGTAAGTCTGTCTTTCCACTCCATCCATCACGTTAACAGTGTTCTGCCCGATTGGAGGACAAAGGGGGTCATAAACTGCGCCTTACTCGTTGCCCTGTCCTGCCCGCTTGGCACGGGACCGGGATAGTTTAGGATCAGCAGGTTGAGATGAAGGGATTGGAGGGCCGTATCTGGCCTGAAGGGCGGCCAGGGCAGAGCCACAGGATTGAGGAATATGCTGGCACAGCAGCGGCGCTCCATCACACACTCAACACACACACTGTGGTGGCAGACGTCAGTGGACTGCAGGGGGTGAATGCCAATGAAGAACGCATGGCGCCCGCAGGCTCACTTTACTCAATTACGCAATAGACCTTCACCGGCTGCACGTGAAGGACAATACATTATAGACTACATATGGCTTTGTACACGTGTGGAGGTAATGGATTAGGAACTCTCCATTGCAGTTATTGGCTTTTCCCTCTTATGTTATACAGAGTCAGCATGTAAATCATCTTCGTGGCCGACCAGTTTGACTTTCAATATGCAGAAGTAATTTTGCGCTGACTATGTTCTGGGCATTAGACATGCATGAAAAGATACCAATTGCAGACGAAGCTACGCAGCGTGCAAGTCAACATAAGACCAGCAGAATCCAATATCAGCAACAAGATATTAATAGGGTCTGAGAAAATCTTTATTACACATCCACGGACAAAAAACAAACACGACTTGTCATGAAGCACAAATGTATCAATTACAAGTCAGTTTCATCAACGTCAGACAAGGTCAGCTCCTCCCTGCATCTTCAACACATACATTAATTCCTACATGCATGTGCACACGTGACAGGGGAGGTGCAGGCGCATCGAGGGTAAGAATGAAGGAGGGGTAAGGTTAGAGAAGTTTATAGTGCATCATTGACCCCAATTTAGTGTTTCAGCTCCAGTGTTTGTGATGGATGGATACAGCGGTGTCGGGCAGATGGAGAGAAGATTTACTCGACAGTAATCCAGAAAGAGAAAGGCAATAAAGCAAGACACGGAAAGAAATAAAAACTGATAAATTGAGAGCAGAGTGGCAGGAACAGAAAGCAGTGACAAAAAGAAAACAGGTAATGTAGGGAGAAATAGAACAATATGTGGAACTGAGAGTGAGGATGAGGAGTGAACATCAAGAAACAGAGGGAGAGAAGAAGATAGGAGCTGGGCTGGAGTCTGTGGTGACTGATCCTGCTGTGTAACAGAGTGATAAAGCTTGCTCAGCAACATCCCTCTTACATCTAACCTTCAGGGACCAACGCTGCTCTGTTGTCTCCACTCTGCCTCCTCCACACTCTGTAAGAGCTCTACTCCGCCCGACTCTCTGTATTCATGAGCTGCACTGACTCATTCAGAGCATGTAGGGATGAATGAGGGTGAAAGAGGAAAAAGAAGAATGAAATGGCAAAATTGGTGAAATTATCTTTGCTGCGGAGAAAATGAATTGCATCTCAAGGTGTTTCTTGCTATTTGGGTTACGCTTTGTAGTTATCAAGGCACATAGCTGGTTCCACGGCTGCCTCGGCTCTGAATGGAATTTCAGACAAAACAATAAAATGGCGTCTGTGTGGCCCCCCACCCCACCCCCAGCCTCTCCTGACCTTCTGTTCTCCTCACCCCTCACCCATGAGACTCAGCCAGAATGAAGGAAGAGAACGCAGAACAACCGGACCTGATGAGAAAGCACATTGTACCTAATGAAGCAGCTCCCTGGTGGCCAAACTAATTACCACAGATTAATGATTTGATTTAATTACGTGGACAAAATAAAGGACAGGACTTGCCTTGTCAGAAAACACCGGGGTTAAAAGGTTGAGGCTACAATTCACACAGCAGAAGTATCATCAGTGTCAGACTGTCCTTATCACATTTTCAACTGTACACATGCTGAAACCAAACAGTGTGTGTGTGTGTGTGTGTGTGTGTGTGTGTGTGCAGGGGCGCGTTGTTGTTTACGTGCAGTCCAGGGCACGAGTTTCATTTGTTTTGGAAGATGTTTTTCTTGTCACCGTCCACCAATAAAGGCTGCAGAGGTATGAGCCTGCCTCTGTAATCCTTCTCCGCTCTTTGGCTGGAAAGTTCGTTTCAATGAATTATGTAGCGCTCCACCTGGCTATTAGCCTCTAAACAAGCCTGGGAATGGATAGCAGGCAGCAACACAACGACCTTGGATTTGTACTCAATGCATTACGTGTGAGCTGTCGAATCTCTAAAAGATGCAATCCCATTGTCTTCTCAGCATTACTTAAGAGCCGTGTCATGTTGATT